ACCCTTTCAGATCTGGAGACTGGGTTTATGTTAAGAATTTTTCAGGAGATCCTCTACAGGAGAAGTGGAGCGGACTGTACCAGATATTATTGATCACCTTTACAGCAGTGAAGATAAAGGAACAACCTGCTTGGGCACATTATTCAAGAATAAAGAAAGCACCAGAGCCAGAGAAGACAGGGTGGATCGAACCTTCAGTACCCTTGCGTATGAAATTGTGTCGGTCATAATTTGGACTCATATGATAACTGGCGCACAAGCTTGGGACCAGAATTTATACCTGAAATTAGTGCAGAATGTTACTAATATTTTCATCATAATGACTGTTGGGTGTGTGCACAGTTGCCTAAATCAGGAGAAAGCCTGGATCTCCCATTAATTGGAGTTCCAATTCCTAACACTGTCTCATGGACAAATTTGTGGGTGAACACTAGCGATCTGTATTCAAGGGAAAGGTTAACATTTGAAATAGTTAATCCTAACCCAGGTAATAAATACTACACCTGTGCACAAAGGGGTATTACATCAGAAACCAGAGTAGGAGATCAGGCTTGTTTAAATGCCACAGATGTAGGTCACCATTCAAATTACAATCATACAATTAACAATTAACATAGATGGTATCGTAGTTCAGTGATGGCCCGTTCCTAAAGGGAAAGGATGGTATTGGTTATGTGGGAAAATGCTTATAAGATTTTACCCCCAACTGGAAGGGGGCATGCACCTTAGGTGCTGTAATACCCAATTTTACTATTATCAACAGGTACCCTTCCAGGACCTGGATTAGAAGTTTTGCTGAACGAATTAATTGAGGGTTTAACCCTATTATTCAACAGCACAACTCATTTCACAGTTTTGTAAAAGGGCTAATTCCATCTTTGGCAGTAAGTGAATTAGAGAAGGCAATTGTAAATATCTCGGCAACCATAGAGGAAATGGAAAGTAAAAACATCGATATAATCTAGGCAGAACAAGAGATAACTAGCCTATCTAAGGTGATATTACAAAACTGAATGGCTCTAGACATGTTACTGGCATCACAAAGAGGGGTTTCTTCCATAATCAATGAAAGGTGTAGTTCCTATACAGACTAAAGTGGTGGAATTGAAACAGATCTGGAGGAAATTTGGAAACAAACTAAGATATTTCGTGAAATGGCCATGGATGGCACCTCCTGGGGCTTTGAAGAAACATGGAAAAAGTTAACTTCATGGTTACCCAATCTCTCCTGGTTGAGGCAACTGGTTACAGGAATATTGGTGTTAATTATTTTAATATTGATTATTTGTGGTATGATACAATGTTCCCTCTGGTGTTGTAAACGGTCTATGATAAATTACGAAGAATGGAAACGGAATGAAACTAAGCACCAGGTAGAAACGGGATATTATTTCAAAAAGACTTTTGGTGGTAATGGTAATATATAAAATGTTGCAAAAGAATTTGCAAAAGGACAGAAAAAGGGGGGAATTTGAGACAAAGGGGCACAAAATCACAAAATGGGATATAGAAACTTTTATAAGACGTTTTAAGTAATGTTAAGTTTGATGGCTTTGTAACAGTAGCAATGGAAAATTACTGAGGTGCAGGATACATAGAGAAAAAAAACAGAGTACAACTAGAGAACATACTAAGAATTCTCACAAGATAAATCGTTATAGTTGGCCTAGTTTTAAGAAAAACAGTCTAGAAGAACAGGACACAGGGATAAGGAGTATCTGGGAAAGGCAGGTGTCCAGGATGGGCTACAGTTAAACTAACTGATAAGTAGGAGGATAGGAGGATTATTATGTCTCTGGTGCTAACGAACCAATTAAACTGGTATGAGCATCTACTGCGCGTGCTTCAAAGGCTGCCAGAAGTGATGAAGATTGTTGGAAGAAGTAACTGACCCTCAGAGACCAGCACCACAATTCTGTACGCATGCGGGGAACTCTCTGGAAAATGATGTAATCCATACGTAGCCTCATGAATATGTATGTATGCCCAGTGACTATATAAGGGTGGCTTGTATAGCAGTACGGGGACACACGTTAGGAGGATTTATCCCCCGTGTCTCCCGGCGCCGCAATAAAGAATACCTGCTTGTCAGCTTGAAAACTTTGTTGGCAAGTTTGTTCCTGGAGTTTTCTCCGAATCACAGGAGAGGTGCGCTGCTGGATCTCATCCTCACTAACAAGGAGGGTCTGATCGAAGGAGTGAAGGTTGAGGGCTGCCTTGGTTGCAGCGACCACGAGATGGTGGAATTCAGGATCTTGTGTGGTAGGGCCAGTAGAATAGCAAGTAGAATTGCAACCCTGGACTTTAACAGGGCAAACTTTGGCCTCTTCAAGCAATGGCTAGGGGAAATCCCATGGGCTAGGCTGCTTGAAGGTAAAGGGGCCCAAGATAGTTGGTTGACGTTCAAGGACTGCTTTTTCCGAGCTCAAGATCAAAGCATCCCGACACGTAGGAAGTCAAGGAAGAGGGCCAGGAGACCTGCGTGGCTAAATAGGGAATTGCTGGGTATGCTGAAGTGGAAGAGGAGAGTTTACAGGTCATGGAAGGAAGGGCTGGCCACTTGGGAAGAATATAAGGCTGCTGCTAGAGGATGTAGGAAAACAGCTAGGATGACTAAGGCCTCCTTGGAATTAAAGCTGGCGAGAGGGGTCAAGGACAGCAGAAAGAGCTTTTTCAAATACATGGCAGATAAAACTAACACCAGAGGCAATGTAGGCCCGCTGATGAACGGGACGGGTGCCCTGGTGACAGAAGATACAGAGATGGCAGAGTTACTGAATGCCTTCTTTGTCTCTGTCTACTATGCTGGAGGCAGTCCTGATCTTCAGCCCTGTACCGCTGAGACCTCAGATGAAGACTGGTCAATGGAGCGGTTTGCCTTAGTCGATGAGGAATGGGTTAAAGACCAGTTGAGCAATCTGGACATCCATGAATCCTTGGGTCCAGATGGGATGCACCCGCGGGTGCTGAGGGAAGTGGCGGAGGTCATTGCTAGACCGCTCTCCATTATCTTTACCAAGTCTTGGGAAACAGGAGAGGTGCCTGAGGACTGGAGGAAAGCAAATGTCACTCCCGTCTTCAAAAAGGGCAGGAGGGAGGACCCGGGTAACTATAGACAGGTCAGCCTCACCTCCATTCCTGGGAAAGTGATGGAACACCTTATCCTTGGTGCCATCTTAAGGCATATCAAGGATAAGAGGGTTATGAGGGGCAGTCAACACGGCTTCACCAAGGGGAAGTCATGCTTGACCAATCTCGTAACCTTTTATGAGGAAATAACACGGTGGATGGATGATGGCAGAGCGGTGGATGTGGTCTACCTTGACTTCAGCAAAGCGTTTGACACAGTCTCCCACAGCATCCTCGCAGCTAAATTGAGGAAGTGTGGTCTGGATGATGGGGTAGTGGGGTGGACTGTGAACTGGCTGAAGGAGAGAAGCCAGAGAGTTGTAGTCTATGGGGCGGAGTCTAGTTGGAGGCCTGTATCTAGTGGAGTGCCTCAAGGGTCGGTACTGGGACCAGTATTATTTAATATATTCATCAATGATTTAGGTGAGGGAATTGAGTGTACTATCAGCAAGTTTGCTGATGACACTAAGCTGGGAGGAGTGGCCGACACGCCAGAAGGCTGTGCTGCCATCCAGCGAGACCTGGACAGGCTGGAGAGTTGGGCAGGGAGTAACTTGATGAAATATAACAAGGGAAAGTGTAGAGTCCTGCATCTGGGCAGGAACAACCCCAGGTTCCAGTATAGGTTGGGGAACGACCTGTTAGAGAGCAGTGTAGGGGAGAGGGACCTGGAGGTCCTAGTGGACGACAGGGTGACCATGAGCCGATACTGTGCCCTTGTGGCCAAGAAGGCCAATGGCATCCTGGGTTGTATTAGAAGGGGGGTGGTTAGTAGGTCGAGAGAGGTCCTCCTTCCCCTCTACTCTGCCCTGGTGAGACCTCATCTGGAATATTGTGTGCAGTTCTGGGCCCCTCAGTTTAAGAAGGACAGGGACCTGCTGGAGAGAGTCCAGCGCAGGACAACTAAGATGATTAAGGGAGTGGAGCATCTCCCTTATGAGAAAAGACTGAGGGAGCTGGGTCTCTATAGTTTGGAAAAGAAGAGATTGAGGGGTGACCTTATTAGTGTATATAAATATATAAAGGGGGAGTGTCACGAGGATGGAGCCAGGCTCTTCTCAGTGGCAAACAATGAAAGGACAAGGGGAAATGGGTACAAACTGGAACACAAGAGGTTCCACTTAAACTTGAGAAGAAACTTCTTCTCAATGAGGGTGACAGAACACTGGAACAGGCTGCCCAGAGAGGTTGTGGAGTCTCCTTTTCTGGAGACATTCAAAACCCGCCTGGACACGTTCCTGTGTAATCTTATCTAGGTGTTCCTGCTCTGGCAGGGGGATTGGACTAGATGATCTTTTGAGTTCCCTTCCAATCTCTAACATACTGTGATACTGTGAAAATTCCCTTTATCTAGACAAGCCCTTTTTGTTTAAAGAGAAGAAAAGCAAGAAGGTTGCAGCTTCAGGGGACCGTAGCAGTGTTTTCAACCTAAGCAGCGAGTTATCAGCTGTGGAGAACGGAGGGGCAGAAAAAGAAAGGAGGGGTGGGGGGAAAGAGCACAAAAGCCTATTTGTAATAGTCATGCCAACAAGCATTATTCTCTCACTCAACAAAACGGTTAGTGAAACACAGTTACTAGACTGAGCAAGCTCTGGGTCAACAACTTGGTCCTGCCATTCACTCCACAGCTGACTTCACCTAACAGGCACTGCTTAATAGGGGAAATGGGCAGAAGTAGACCCCCTAACCCCCGAAGTCTGTAAACTTAGCCTTGTGGCTTTGTTACAAGTGCTTTAAATGGAAAATGAACAAACAAAATGTAAGTTGAATAGTCTGTCACAATCTTAAAATACCACTCAACCAAGAAAAATCAAACATTTGCATAATCCTTTTCTATAAAGCAGATCACAGCAACAATTAAAAGGGCTTACCCTTTTGCGTTCAGATTTCTTGTGAAGGTACAGAGCAGACACTAATTTTCATGTGGAATAGATCACTCCTTTGTCAACATTTTTGAACCTTTGTTACTGCTGCTTTATAGCTTTTCATGTACTGGAATAAAAAGAAACAGTGACAGATATAAGCTGTGAACAAGGTTATTATCAAAGCACAGAATTATTTTCTCATATTTAATTCTTTTCTCAAATTTAAAAGGTACAGCTTAGTGGAAATATTTCACACAATTTAATACAATTTTGCTGCTAACCAGACCAGAATGTTGGAAGCAACAGAACCTTATGTTCAAATAGGAATTCCAATTTAAATTTTTTCCCATAATTTGCTTATCCACACTGTCCTACACCAGTAAAATAACCATTTAACACAGAGAACAGTAGTTTGACTATTTATTAGTTAGAAGAGAATGCTGTACTCCTACACATGCTAAGAAATGGTTCTGTAAATTTAAAGAGGATCCTGGGAGGTACTAGCCTGTCAGCCTCATCAATCTGACTGGGAAGATGATGGAACAGATGATCCTCAAAGCTAAGCTAAGGCACACGGAAGACAGGGAAGTGACTCCAAACAGCCACCACTGCCTCACCAAGGGCAAGTCCTGCCTGACCAGCCTAGTGGTCTTCTATAATGGAGTGACTACATCAGTGAGCAAGTCAATAACCATGGATGTCATCTCTCTGAAATTCTGTAAGGCCTTTGACACGGTCCCTTATAACATTCTCTCTCAATTGAGGAGATATGGATTTGATGGGTGGACTGTTTGGTGGATGAGAAATTGGCTGGATGGCTGCCACTGAGTGGTCAACAGTTCAATGCTCAGATGGATATGACAAGTGGTGTTTCTCAGGGGTCTGTATTGGGACCAGTATTGTTCAATATCTTCATCAATGACAGACATTGTGATCAAGGGCAACCTTGGAGAGTTTACAGATGACACCAAGCTGAGTGATGCAGTTGACACATCTAGGGAATGGGATGCCATCCAGAAGGACCTGGAAAAACTTGGGAAGTGGGCCTGTGTGAACTTCATGAGATTCCACAAGGCCAATTGAAAGTCCTGCACTTAGGTCAGGGCAACCCTCAGTACCAATACAGGCTGAGGCATGAAGGGATTTAGAGCTGCCCTGCCAAGAATGACTTGGGAGTACTGATGGATGAAAATCTGGACATAAGCCGGCAAAGTGCACTCACAGCCCAGAAGGACAACTGTATCCTGGGCTGCATCGAAAGAAGTGTAGCTACGAGGTCAAGGGAGGAAATTCTGCCCCTCTGCTCTGGTGAGACCACAGGGAGTATGAAGATGATCAGAGGGATGGAGCACCACTCCAATTAAGAATGGCTGAGAGAGCTGGGCTTGTTCAGCCTGGAGAAGGCTCCAGAGAGACTGTATTGCTGCCTTTCAGCACTTATGAGGGCTTATAAGAAAGATGGGGACGAACTTTTTAACAGGGTCTGCTGCAATAAGATATGGGGTAACAGTTTTAAACTAAAAGAGGGTAGATTTAAACTAGATAGAAGGAAGAAATTTTTTACAATGAGGGTGGTGAAGCACCAGACCAGACTGCCCAGAAAGGTGGTAGATGCCCCATCCCTAGAAATATTCAAGGTCAGGTTGGATGGGCTTTGAGCAACTTGGGTTAGTGGAAGGTCTGCCTAGGCATTGCATGAGGGATGAATTATTTCACTCAACAATTTCACTTGCTTTTATCAGGCCTTTATAAGAATACCAAGACAGTATGCTGCTAAAGGGCATCCACTTAAGGTATGTTCTGGAGTTACAACATACAAAGATTTTCCCTTTATCTAATCTGAAATCTGTCCTCTACCATTTCATCATCATGGCATTACCGAACTCAACAAGCAAATGCTACACTCACACTGATGCTCTATTTCTTATACTTTTCTTCAAAAATGAATGCAAAAGGTAGAGAACTGATATTTGCAGCTTTTGCAATAACATATTTTTGTTTCTAATCCAAATCTGTGCTATTTATGAATTTGATATTCCAGACAGAAGACAAAACCATTAACCTATTGCACATGTAATGATGTTGTGCCTCTACTTGAGCCTGTACAGCCAAGCACCTCCTATTTCCCTGAAGACAGCAGAAGCTCTAAATCCTCAGCCCCCTCTCTCCAAAATCAGGCTTTGAAGACAGCATCCACTTGAACATTTTCTTGTCTACTGACACAGGATCCCATCCAGAAAACAAGTCCAAAACACATACTTAACTGTTGTTCACACCTAGATTGACACCTTGTTTGTGAGATTTAAATTACTGCTTACTTAAAAAATAAAAATATTAAACAACTTCTACTTGCCTCTCCCTATTTCTTCTTGTAGCTATATGGTAACAGTATTCCACCAGTATTTTTCACAGTAAAAGCAGAACAAGAGAAAAGGTAATAAAATGCTCTGGAAGGCAACACTCATTAATGCAGCGTTCAAGATTGGATCAGAAGTAGCAGCAGAACTGGGAATCACTGATCCAATGGCTCTGCTCTTTTTTTCTTATTTGCAGTTCACCCTACAGTGCCTGAAGGTGTTGAGAATGCTCTGCCAGCAAACTGTTATTTGCAAACTCATTCATATTGCACTGTCCACAGTGACTGTAACCAACATTTCAAGAATTGCATTTATAGAGCAACTGTCAGCAGAAGGACTCAGATGTGCAGCAAAAACTTAACACAATTCACCAGTTATATTCAAGGTGCAGACATCTCAGAAACCATGCAGAGAGGTTCTTAACCTGGAATTGTCACAGAAAGACATGTAAGTCCCTCTGGCATGTTCTGTTGTTGTACAAAATCTCTTCAACTTTAAGCAGTTGGTAAAACAGTATTTGTAACATTAAGTAGCACGACCTCTCCTCAATTACAGATTCTGTTTATCATAGTAACAAGACAAATATTTATAAAGTGCACTACACGTAAAAATTGTAAAGACTTTTTTCACTTAGACATGTCAAAAGATTCGGCAATCAGGCACAGGTTCATAATACCCACATCATATAACAATAGAGCAGCACACTTGAGACTCAGCTATTGAAATACATTCCAAATTATACAAGACCAGTATGCAGTGTAAGTTATCCCTAAATACTTCAGGTTTACTCCACCTTCAAGAGAGGGAAGAGCTTCTTTATAATTACAGCGTAATAGAAGTTATAGCAGTTTTAGAAGACACAAATAGCATTTAGTCATGGCTATAACATATGTGTAAGATACAGTATATGCTTGACATCATCTCAGAGCAAAATGTTCCAAACCATTTAAACTATGCTCCTTGAAAACTTCTGGATGAATAACCAGTGTCCTAGTGGGCACATACAGCACATCCAGTGCAAATACCTTGGTTGATTTAAAAAAAGAAATAAAACCCTTAAAGCCACATGAAAGGCAAGTCTCCACAGTCACCAACAGCCTCAGCTAAGCAACCAGTCCCCTTGAAACTCCCCTTCCCAACTTGGCTTACACTCACTCCTCTCTACCTATCTTCCCCAGTTCACAGATTCATCCCCTATTGCATTCCTACAGAACTTAAATGTTAAATATTTTGCAAAAGAAAGATGAAAATATTAACTACATTTTCCTTCATTTGCAAGGTCACAAAGATAATTGTTATAGATATTCTGGTCCAGCAGAAATAAAAAAGAACCTGCTATTCCACACATGGGATAAAATGTCTTCTATGCCTCAGCGCCTTGGTGTCTGTGCATTTCATACTACAATTTGCTTTATTTAATGCCTATAAAATAATGTTGAAAATACAGATTTTTTTTTTGTAGATCTGTGGTGTAATGTGCAGTAATCCTGACTAATTGAAAAATCATGGCAGTCAGGTGAAGTTCCTGACGACTGGAAAAAGGGAAATATAACCCCCATTTTCAGGAGAAGGAGAAAATGGATGACCCGGGGAATTACAGACCAGTCAGTCACCTCTGTGCCTGGCAAAAATCTTGGAGCAGATTCTCCTGGCAGGCATGCTAAGGCACATGAAAAACTAGGTGCTTGGTGACAGCCAGCATAGCTTCAATAAGGGGAAATCCTGCCTGACCAATCTGGTGGCCTTCTATGATGGGGCTACAGAACTGATGGACAGGGATAGAGCAGCTGATGTCATCTATCTGGACATGTGTAAAGTGTTTGAGACTGTCCTACACGACACCCTTGTCTCTAAATTGGAGAGATGTCAATTTGATGGATGGACCACTGAGAGGATAAAGAACTGACTGGATGGCCCCACACAAAGAGTTGTGGTCAATGGCTCGATGTAGAGGTGGAGACGAGTAACGAGTGGTGTCCCTCAGGGATCGGTGTTGGGACCGGTCTTGTTCAACATCTTTGTTGGTGACATGGACAGTGGGATTGAGTGCACCCTCATCAAGTTTACTGATGACACCAAGCTGTGTGGTTCGGTTGATACACTGGAGGGAAGGAATGCCATCAAGAGGGACCCTGACACGCTTGTGAGGTGGGCTGATGCCAACTTGATGAAGTTTAAACATGACAAGTGCAAGTTTCTACACCTGGGTCTGAGCACTCCCAGACACACCTACATGTTGAGCAGAGAAGAGATTCAGAGCAGCCCTGTGGAGAAGGACTTGGGGGTGCTGGCTGATGAGAAAATGAACATGAGCTGGCTTCAGTGTGCGCTTGCAGCCCAGAAAGCCAACCGTATCCTGGGCTGCATCAAAAGGAGTGTGACCAGCAGGTCAAAGGAGGTGATCCTGCCCCTCTACTCTGCTCTTGTGAGACCTCACTTGGAGTATTGTGCTCAGTTCTGGTGTCCTCAACATAAAAAGGACATGGAACTGTTGGAACAAGTCCAGAGGAGGGCCACAAGGATGATCAGGGGACTGGAGCACCTCCCATATGAAGATCGGCTGAGAAAGTTGTGGCTCTGCAGCCTGGAGAAGAGAAGGCTGTGTCGAGACCTCATAGCAGCCTTCCAGTATCTGAAGGGGGCCTATAGGGATTCTGGGTATGGACTCTTCCTTAGGGACTGTAGCGACAGGACAAGGGTTAACAGGTTAAAACTTAAACAGAGGAGGTTTAGATTGGATATAAGGAAGAAATTCTTTCCTGTTAGGGTG